TCTATTTACAGAAAATGCATACAAACTAATAAATAAGTAAATATATTTATATGTGTACAACAACATCTTTCTATTTATAATAAATACATGTAAAATAATAAATAAACACAAAAACAAATAACTAAATAATATATATATGTATATATATAAATATAAATAAATAGGCAAACAAACAAAACAAATAAATAAATAAATAAATAAACATATATATATATATATATATATATATATATATATATATACATATAAACTTCAGGTCTCGGTTCCCCTAGCGAGTGGCTGAAGTTTCTGTCTTCTGATTCTCCTTTTTTAACTGAGGCGATCACTCCTCGGCTGCGGGGTACTGTAGATATGATGCTTTCAGACTTTGTTGCTGCTTCTGCTGCTGCTGCTGCTTATGCGCTGCACGGCACAGCCAGCCCGCTGCAGCCAAAGCACCAGCAGCAGCAGCAGCAGCAACAGCAGCAGCAGCAGCAACTGCTGCTGCAGCAGCAGCAACGCCCCCTGGTGTATATCACGGATGCAGCAAGCATCATTGCCAGGGCCTTTACGGGGGGAGATATCCTCGACAGCAACAGAGACAAAAACAAACAAGAAGATAAACAAAGGCAGCAGCAGCAGCAGCAACAGCAGCAGCAGCAGCAGCAACCGCTGCTGCAACTGCTGCAGCGCTTGACTACAAATGCGGATATGACGCAGCGCAGGCAGCAGCATCCCCGCACTCAGAACAGTGCAGCAGCAGCAGCAGCAGCAGCAGCAGCAGCAGCAGGAACAAAACCAAAGCAATCAACAGCAGCAACGACGAAACCAGCAGCGGAAAACGGCGCAGCAGCAGCACAAGGAAGTCGAGCAGCAGCAGCAACTGCAGCAGTAACAGCAGCAGCAGCAGCAGCACAGACAGCTGTGGTGAAAGTTGCTGAAGCAGCAGCAGCAGCAGATCCAAAGACAGCTGCTGCTGCTGCTGGTGAGAGAGCAGCGCCTAGAGAAGGAAGCAGAGGAATAAGAGAAGCAGCACTAAGGAGAGTTATAAACAGAGGGGGTGCTGCAGCAGACAGCAGCAGCAGCAGCAGCAGCAGCAGCAGCAGAAACGACACGGATAATAAACGACAGAATGCAGCAGCAGCAGCAGCAGCAGTTGCTGCAGCAGCAGCAACAGCAGCAGCTTCAGTTGCTGCAGCAGCAGCAGAAGTTGCACGGAAGCCAACGCTCGTTGCGCAGCAAGAAGATGCAGCAGCAGCAGCTGAAATACTAGCTGCAGCAGAAGCACCCGCAGAAGCAGAAACACCAGCTGCAGCAGCAGCAGCAGCAGAAGCAGCAACCCCAGCTGCAGCAGAAGCAGCAGCAGAAGCAGCAACACCAGCTGCAGCAGAAGCAGCAGCAGACGCAGCAACACCAGCTGCAGCAGAAGCAGCACCAGAAGCAGCAACACCAGCTGCAGCAGAAGCAGCAGCAGCAGCAGCAGAACCAAGCGAGGAAGCTGCTGCGTCTGCTGCTGCAACAGCAGCAGCAGCAAACGAGACTGAAGATGATCCTCATTCTGAAAATGCTGCAGCAGAAGCAGCAACAGACGAAGCAGCAGCAGCAGAAGCAGCAGCAGCAGAAGCAGCAACAGAAGCAACAGCAGCAACAGCAGAAGCAGCAGAGCCAGCAGCAGCAGGGCCAGCAGCAGCAGAAACTGAGAAGGGCGCTAGTTCTGCTGCTGATGCAGCAGCAGCAGCAACAAATGAATCGAATGAAACCGATGCGTCAGCTACTCCTGGAGCAGCAGCAGCAGCAGCAAGAGCACCAGCAGCAGCAACAGCAGCACCTGCAGCAGCAACAGCAGCACCAGCAGCAGCAGCAGAAGAAGATGCAACACCAACTGTTGCAGTAGCTGATGCAGCTGCTGACGGTCATCTGGATGCAGCAGCAGCAGCAGAAGCAGCAGCAGCAGAAGCAGCAGCAGCAGAAGCAGCAGCAGAAGATGCAGCAGCAGGAGAAGCAGCAACAGCAGCAACGGCAGATGAGGAAAACGCTGGCCCTACTTCTGAAGCAGCAGCAGAAGCAGCAGCAGAAGCAGCAGCAGCAGCAACAGCAGCAGCAACACCAGAACCGGCTGAAGGCGATGCTCCGCCTACTCCTGAAGCAGCAGCAACAGCAGCAACCACTGCAGCAACTAATGAGCTTACTGAGGATGCAACTGCAGCAGAAGCAGCAGCAGCAGAAGGAACAGCAGCAGAAACAGCAGCAGCAGAAACAGCAGCAGCAGAAACAGCAGCAGCAGAAACAGCAGCAGCAGGAACAGCAGCAGCAGAAACAGCAGCAGCAGAAACAGCAGAAGTAGCAGCAGCACAAGAAGAATCCGAGAAGGACTCTGCTGCTGACGGGCGTCAGCTGCAGCAGCAGCTGAGTGTGCATCAGCAGCAGCTGTTGCAGCAGCAGCTTTTATTGCAGCAGCAACTGCAGCAGCAGCAACTGCATCAGCAGCAGCTGCAGCAGCAGCAGGTACAGCAGCAGCTGCAGCAGCAGCAGCAGCAGCAGCAGCAGCAGCAGCAGATATCTCCCGTGATGCGGGTTGACGTTGCTCTCGCCCGGGTGCCGCAGATACTGCCGGTAGCAGCAGCAGCAACAACGCATGCAGTGGGGGCTGTGGTGGGAACCACCAAAACCCTAGCAGCAGCAGCAACAGCAGCAGCAACAGCAGCAACAGCAGCAGCAACTGCATCAGCACAAGAAGCTGCAGCAAGGAGACAACACAGAAGCAGCAGACCCCCAGTTATACGGCACCCCCGCACAACTACATATATCATCAACGCATAAACAAATATATTTATTTATAAATATATATATATATATATATATATATATATATATATATATATATATATATATATATATATA